TCTTTTTAACATGTAACACAATTTGTAATTATGCATTTGCTTGTGAGTTAATGTAGTAAGTGAGAGTCTTTTCCTACTAGATCTAAACCATATTCATTAAACCACTCCAATCAGTGCCAGGCTCACTATAGACACACATTAAGTATTTGTCAAAGGAATTAATGAAAGAATAGTGTGAAGTCAGCTGGATTCCTCCATGCCCTTCCCTGTGGTGATTTGTTGTGGTTGTGGTTGCTAGATTGTTGCATGTCCTGAAGAGCTTCCTCAGAAGGTGGCATCACCTAGAGCTGTGCAGGAGCCCTCCAGAGAGCAGCTCCTGACCGTGGACACCCAACCCAGACAAAAGCCACAGCAGTCTCACTTTCTGGAGGAAAATGGTGAGTATGGCCCCAGCCCATGTGGGTTGGAGCTATCTGTAATAGACTGTAGGATTATGCAGCCTCTCTGCAACTAGCCAAGTGTGAGCTTGAACAGGGCTAGCGATCTGGAAGAAATCACTCCTATTCATGGTCATGAATCTGGCTGTTAACCTCACGGTCAGTAGTTCAAAACTACCAGCTGTTCCGCGGGAGAAATACGAGGCTTTCTACTCTTGTAAAGATTTACAGTCTCGGAAACCCTGTACAGGGTTGCTAGGAGTCGGAACCAACTCCACGGCACATAACAACAATAAATTTTAATAAAGGTCAGTTTATAGGATGTCTTGGAACTATGACTTTGTTAAAGGGCCTACAAAAGTCTTTACAAAATATTAAAGATCTTTTGCAACATTCAGATTTTGCTGTCCTAATGCTTATGTGAAAAAAGCCTTCCAATTCATAATTACATTCACTTCAGTTGGTCTGTATTCACCATGAAATCGTGTCTGAAGCAGTGCTTCACAATAACCTTTAGAATATTTACTTTCTTTTTTTTCCCTCTTTTAAAATGTTATGAACCTGTCTTAGGTACAGCAAGGAAGAAAGGTGAGTATTGTATTCCTTGTGATGTGTGTTCACAGGGCCATAATCTCTAATCAGAACCTTGGTATCAGATATATTTTAGAACTCAAAATTTTTTAGATTTAGTAAGATAATGTGAGTTACACCCATAATCAAACACATTAATTTTTCTCTGGTGAAATAAATGCATCTTTACAGTAAGTGTATTAGCTAAAGACTTTAAATAGCTTTAATATCTGTTCAGTTCAGATTTTGATATCAAATTTAGTGGGAAACAAAAGAAACCTTGATTATTTAGAGCAGGGGTAGGGAACATCCACCCTGTGGGCAGTAGAAGACCCACAAAACCATTTGGTCTGGTTCGGCCAAGACAGCTGCTGTCCAGCCATCACTTTGTTGTTGTTGTTGTTAAGTGCTGTTGAATCGGTTGTGATTCATTGTGACCCTGTATAGGTACAGCAAGGAAACCCTGTATAGGGTTTCCAAGAAGTGGCTGGTGAGCTTGACCTTGCTGTTCAAACCGACCTACCTTGCCATCCAGCACATTACATTAGCCTTCAGTGCCACACCAGGACTCTAGCCATCACATATGTTGTTGTGTGCCTGGAGTCGGTTCCGACTCATAGTGACCCTGTACAGGGTTTCCGAGGCTGTAAATCTCTACGGGAGCCATAACATTAGGGGTGTTAATTAAATGTTTGACCAAATACAGTAAGTAAATTTTTAAGCTGATAATTTTGTGTGGTCCACAAATAATGTTATAGCTATCCAAATTGTCTGTGGCATAAAAAAGGTTCCCCTGATTTAGAGCATTTGGATTTCCAAGTACATGATTTTAGGCCTGTATTTCCACTGTTTGGCCCCAAACTTCCTGTAGACTCCAGTTAGTAGTCACGTCTTTCCCTTGTCATGCATTCTGCTACCCTTGTCCAGCTTTCCTTTCATTATAATAATAGTAACAACAGCGACTTCTAGTTACACAAAACTTACTGTGTATCAGGAGCTGTTCCTTCACTCTTCCTGTATAAACTCATTTCATCCTCAGTGTATCTGGAAAAAATGTTGTCAGATGTCACAGAGTCAGTTTTTTTTTAAAATGTTTTATTGTGAATTATGTGATAGCTTACATGGGAGA